TAAAGAAGACACAGAAGACAAATAAACCAAAGATTCAGACAAAGGGACGCTAATAACCACAGATCTATCCATCTATCACCAATGTCCTCCAATACACAAGTCTCCATTTCCAGCACAATAGTTCTAATTTTCATAATCAATATCATATTTTGATCCGTTTTTTTTTAATTTTTATTTTACTGCAATGTTCACTTCGTTGTATCCCAGAATTCATATTTCCGAACTACTCGATGTATTAGCGCAGAACTTCACCACGAATGTTTATATTTTATTTAAAAAATCGATTTGTGTCAGACGTTGATGAGCTAAAAGCTAAATCTGATGATTTTTAAAGATAATTTCTTGTAAAACATCTATAATATATTCACACTGGCTATTAACCTCCAATAAAAGACAATGGATTTATGCATAGCTATCTGCTGAGATTAATCTGGGATTATTGGTGAGCTATACGCTCTAATCCGCAGTGATCATTGTGTAATTAATACGCGTAATTTATAATAAGACCTGTCGACCGCTAATCCAGACATCTTAGCAGGATTATGTAAATGACTTTGTTGGTTCTTCTGTTTTCTACAATGATAAATTCTGAGATAATACATTACATCCTCAGAATTCATGTTACAGAATTTAGGCTCATTGTGATTACTCTTGTACGGTATTTTCTTCTGTTCCAAGCGTTTCTTCAGTTATACAACGAGAATTTAAAGCCTTATTTTGATGGATTAATTGGTCGTTTTAAATAAGCATATAGCTTTTTATGTGAATTAGATTTCATTTTGAGTCTGAAATAAAATCAGAGTAAAAGTCCTGCACGCAAGATGGCACCACGTGCCGATGAATTTATTTCATCTGGATCAAAACCATTGACATATCATACGATTTATAGAAATGTATACCTTCACTTGAGCGAGCACTGTGAGAAGATAGCTCAATTCTGAATCATCCGATACTTTGCACGGATCACTTGTTTCAAAATATATCTAGAACCCGCTTCAAGTAATATTGCCGTGTTTTTGCAGCTTGGTTTACATAAACGTGTTATACAATGTTCATCCAGCCTTATAGAAGATGCACTCTGAGGATGAATATTGCTATTAAATACCCGGAAATCTCATCATATTTGCCAAAAGTTGGCTATATATCTTAGGATAAGAATGCGTAATATTTAGGCAGGTGCAGCATTGTGACTTCAGCACTAGTAACTTCCACAATACATGACATCCTCACATGATATACATAATGTCGGATACACTGAGATTAACCTCACGTACTTTCCAATGTTATTTATTTATTTGCCAACACTTTTATAACAGTGGCACATGGATTATTATATACAAAGTCATGTATAATTTCTAAAACAATTCTCACCCAACTGGTCAACGTATTTTACCTCCCACTTGCAATGCTCTGAACTTTTCTTTAGAACAATCAGGCTTACTTGAAAGCACATTGACTGTTAGATAAATTGTTATGTTCTCGTTTCTAAATGGGCTTGAAAGTATGTGGGTGATAGTTAAGAGTTTGGACCATGCTTGGACATTTCTTGATGAAACTTACACGATTACTTGATTATGATTTACGATGCCATTTGATTCTGTCTCACAGACACATTAACCGCTTGCACTTGACCACGTAAACGAAATAACAATCGATAAGGCACGAGTTCGAATATACCTCCACTAGAATGTTCGAAAATAAAAGCAATGTCAGTCAACCCTGGTCCTCAAGTATACGTTGCTTAATAAAACCTGAGGCCAATGAATACGTTATAAAATGTTTAAAAAGCGATTGGATAAAAACATAAAGCAGGGAGGAGGGGGAAGGGGGTGTTAGGCATGTTATTTCTTTCCACGTCAGATCATGGTTTCGGTATACACTCCCCTCCATAAGTTTGGCAACCTTTTTTCTCCATTGAACTACGTGTTAAAGCCTCTTTACGTTTGAATTTTTATTTACTTAACCGGCGATGAAATAACTTATAATATTGATGGACACGTAACTTGACTTTATTTCCAATACCTCCAAATTTTCTAAATTTTTTTCCTCAATTACAATAGGTCAAAAATTGATGATGAATTTTTGAAAATCGTCATTCCCATGTATTCCAATGGGAAATGGAGGGTTCGGGGCAAATCAGAAATCAGGATATCTTTTCAGTAAAAGATTCAGCAAAAAATATTTTTATATAGAAAATTGAATTGTTTAACTTTTTTGAACACTAAGTGTTTAGTTTATTTGATGAATATTAAAGTTACAGCGCTTCAAAGTCATTTTTGAAAATAATTTTTCGCCTCCTGTGTTATTTCAATGGGAGAGGTTTTTTGAAAAACAATTTTGACTTTAAAGCCCTTTAACTTTGTTGAACCTGAAGAAACATATCAATTTTTTGTTAAATAAAGTTAGCAAATTCAATTACCTGCCTAACTCGTATTTTTTGCAAGGACTCGGATGGATGGATATTCTGTCATATGACTTGCGGCAAACCTACCATTTCCCATTGGTTAACATGGGAATGTCGATTTTCAAAAATTCATCAAATTCATCATCAATTTTCGACCTACTGTAATTGAGGGAAAAAAATTGAGAAAGTTTGGGGGTATTGGAATTAAAGTCAAATTACGTTTCCATCAATAGTATAAGTATTTTCATCGCAGGTTAAGTAAATAAAAATTCAAAGGTAAAGAGGCTTTAACACGTAGTTCAATGGGGGAAAAAAGGTTGCCAAACTTATGGAAGGGAGTGTATATCAGGGTATATTTTTCTTATGACAGGTTTAACCTTAGCATTTGATTTTCTTGCTAGGTTTCTTTACAGTTTGTGGTCCTCTCCCTTTTTTTGGCACTTAATTGCTTACATATTCAAACTAAAAATAAATAGCCCCGTGTAAAAAGCACACGCAACCTAAACCCACTCAACACAGAAAAAGCCTGTATGATGATTTCCTCAAAGAAAAACCAAACAACGCATTTAAAACAAAAACTTGCACTCATACAGAAAACACGGGGATTATCATATTTTCTACTTTTTCTGTCGATAATAGTTTCGTCGGTGTAACTAACTAGTTGAAAATTAGAAGAAATTACCCCTATGGCGATGGCAATTGCAATGATAAGGAAACCTTAGTAATATCATGGCTCGAAGCAGAGCTGCATAGATAATTGAGCTGGGTTCGTAAACAACGTAATGAGTACCACTAATTTTGCATCAGTTACCACATGTGATACTTTGGTTTGGAACATCTGATATTCAAGTATCAGGAACACATTACGCTCTTCTTCAGAATGGTAATAGTTAGTGTTGGGTTGAGTGGATGACTATTATCAAAGATCAGTGTTTGGAGTTATCCCCGACCGCCGGAGTCATTCACGTAGATAACTTGAAAATCGAAATTTCCCAGTGCTGCTTTAATATACTCCGATGTTGCTAGGTTATATTTTCTAATCGGTTCTCATGATGCCTTACGAATTTAGAAGCATATAGACCGCAGTTATGTACAGATACGTCACGAGGGGTCAAATGTCACGCTGGTTCACCAGATATTACTCCGCGTGTGATTAGATCTTGTAACAGATAGATAGTGTGTGACATATTACTCCCCGTGACATTTGATCCCAATGGTTGTGTAGTTCCGTTCTCATGGATGCAACTTGCCACCACCCTGGGTCGAAGTTATAAGGACATTGCGTTGTGCCATGTGTAAAAATAGGGAATTTTCGTTTTAATTCTACTTATACTGATACGTATACGTATGTTTGTAAGTATAAGTATAATTGTAAGTAACACATATTAAAACCATGTTTCGATATGACTATATGAAATTACATACTTATGTCATGTTTGACCAAATTTGCACTTTTTTTCACCATTGTACACTGCTTCTTGTCATTTTGCTGGGACGTTTTTTGGACCATTTGGCCTTTGTATTCATAATCTACGGCTCTGCCCTCTCCCCCTCCCCTTTAAAATGTTTACCCCCATGAATTTTCCGAATTCCGAATAAATCATATTGGCAACGGATTACGAACATCAAGTTCTAAAATTATGTAACTGCGTGTAAATTAATGAATTTGATGATCTTTTTCTTCATCCTATATATAGATAAATACTCCTATAGATAAATACTCTTGTATATTGATACAATGTATACAATGAAAAACGTCAATCTGTACAATGATTCGATGTAACATGAATGCACCGAGAAAGAAGCCAAGGACCAACAAATTCAAACCGAAGGAGCCTCGGAACAGCGGGAATAGGATCGATTGCAACATTTGACACTTCTAAAGTAACCACCAGCCAAACTTAAAACAATAATATTTATCCACTTAATTGGTAGTCTAAATGTCAGATTGTTTTAGTGATAAACTCTTGCCCAAGTGAAGTGGAAGCAAGAAACAAAACAAACCACAAGAAAAATAAATTACCGAGCAAGTTTTTACATTTTTATGTAACACACATGTGCCGTAAACCTATACTAAATTGACGTTCGAAATACGGGTCGCTTCACTCAGTATGTCTTGGAGCGCATCCTGAAGAATCGGTGTTAGTAATCGGGTTGCATTTATATTGAAACTGATATAAACAAGGATGCGGTTGGGGCTCTTTCAATTTCTATTGTGATGTTCCTATAACCCAGACAGTGAATAATAGAGAAATGCTGGCGATCGTATAATGATTATGTAGATACACGTGCCTTATACACTGAACAACTTGTCACTTGAGCAATAGGATCTTATAAAACATATATAACATATCATGTTAACTATGACATTTTGAATACGTTTTGAAATAGTTCGTTCTTGTTCGTCCTAGCTTTATAAATTATTAAAAATAATAAAGACGTAAAAATGATACAACGCATATGCAAATAGTTAGCAACAGTGTAGACTGATTGAGCATGAATCATATAGTAACTTAGTCATATTAACCAGTAAGTATATGCCCCAAGCCTATAGCACTTTCATACTGTTTTGATTCCTTTACTTGTGTATTTTCAGGTGTGGTTCCAAAATCGCCGTTCTAAAGAGAGACGTATGAAACAGCTAAGCGCGTACGGTGCCAGGAGACATTTCTTCCGGGCTTCGCGTAGAATGCGGGCTCTTGGTGGAGCTCTCGAGTTCGGAGACATGGAAATGTTGGGCCCGAATGGGATAGATTACTACCCAGGTACGTATTTTATCTACTATGTATTATTTATATGTTTGGATAATTGTAACGACGTATATCATTATGATACAGAACGCGTTGGACACCATGAAATCGATAACATAAATCAAAGGCTATACAAAGATTTTTGACATAACCCTCAATTTTTTAACAACATTTCCAAACATATTATATTTGTGCACTACTTTACAGAAAGTAGTCCCGAATTTTACGGCCAAGGTCCCCCACCCCAAGGAGATTACTACCCGTGTCCTCCGAGGGACCCGAGGGATATAGGCGGAAACATGGACTACCTACATGGGTTCGGTCCAGGTGGCCAAACTCAGCTAGAACCAGGAATGAACCCCTCTGGTAAGTCGAAACTGCAAATGTATACTCTACCACTCCAGAAGTGCTCCAGAAGTTCGAATTTGCTCAAAAATTTCGCCGTACTTCAATCCTACAAGGGACTTGTGGAGCACTTCTTGGATTTAAATTATTGAAACGATATTTTACCACAACCACAGCTCGTTTTACTATTTAATGGCGGGGGGAGGACGTTTTGAGAACCAGTTTGGTGTGACGGTCGTTACCACAACAACGCAATACAAGCAAGATATATATAAAGAGAGAATCAGACCTGTAAAAGTGACAAAATTACAAGCAACATACAGTTGACCCTCCAATATATTCCTTACAATCTCAAATGTATTATCTCCCAAAATGTCTGTGATATGTTATAGATTGGTGAAGTTGGTTAAGTTTCAAATAGCAAAAACGGGGGGAATGTTGTTTAAATTCTCCCAAATAATAAAAATGGTAACCATACATGTAAGGATGAAAAATGAATGCATTATTGTAAAAATCTTTAGTTTTCCTCAAACAAAGTATACAGGGTGGTCCAAAAAAGTGAACCCTTGCAACCGGCTACATAGTATTATATATCTGCGATTCTTCAACCCTTCAGCAATCTTCCCATGGAAATCTTTTAAGCCGGAGTCCGGGAAACCTAATGTTTTCTGACTTTGGTTTTGAATCCCACACAATATGATGTGAAATTAGCATCCTACCTCTGTTAGTTGCAAAGGTATTGTGATCAAAAGAAATGTTCAATGTTTTCAAAGACGAGAACATCTCCAGTGAAATCGCAACATAACCCAGATTTTGGGTCACAAGGGGTAACTTTGCCCCCTCTACCCGTTTGTGTAGGTAATTATAACATGCCTCTAAACTGTTGAATGGTTAAAACAGCTTCAAAATGGTCAATAAAAGTGTGAAATACTCAAATAGTGTCCCATTTGTCATATGGTAGGGTTTAACCTTACAATCTCTCACTGAAAGCTTTTTTAGGATCATCTAATGTGTATCAACAATTTTCGTCAATCACATTGGTAAAATTTTGCACAAAATCTAATTTGAGGCATGTTTGTTTAAGTCTTGTAATTTCTTCGAAATTCAAGACTGAGAATAAATTATGGTGTCAACAAATATTTTAGACCTTTCTCTACAAGATGTGATAATATGAGCAAATCCATGCATGTATTAAGGAAAATATAGCCTGTTGCAGGGGTTCACTTTTTTGGACCACCCTGTACATTTTGTGAACTTTTAGAAAAGACATGACAAGGAATGACATGAGTCCAAAATATTCTAAAATTGAAACATTTTTGTCCAAAACTTTTGTATGCTTCTGACTACTCTTTGCTAGATCTGATACTAGCTTTAAGTACAGGGTGGTCATTAAAAGGAAACCCTGCATTTTCCTCATAGCTTTGTCATTTTAGGAAATTATCGCGCTGTACGCAAACCTGCACAGTTGTCAATGACCCAAATGCATTCCTCAGCAGGTATGGTCTGAATGGCAAGGATGATCTCACTTTTGAGGTATGCAGTTGTCCTGAGGTTATTCTCATACACTCTATCTTTGCCGTATCCCTACAGGTAGGGACATTTTCGACGACGTGCAGATTTGCCTACAGCGCGATAGTGGTCACTGGTGCATGTTCTTTAAAGTGCTTTAACATTGTGACTATCAATTTGATGGTCAGTAAAGCTGGTAGGAAATTGAATGATGTACAAATGTGTAAAATGTCAGGAAGTCATTTCTAAAAATGACAAAGATATGAGGAAAATGGCGTAAGGGATTCTGTTTTTACCACCTTGTAATTTATTATGCCTTTGCACTTGCTCATCCTGGGCAAAATGACCTCTGTAGAATTGATCTGTAAAAATTCTTATTATACATGTTTAAAAACTAGTTTAAATTGGCGTGAACGTACTGCCTACGTTTTATCTTAGAATATCAATATTACTTCAAGATTAAACTGGTAAAATAGATATAATTTAAAACTGTATCCTTTGTTTTTAGGAATGGGGCGTTTCAATTATAATGATATGACGCCACCCACCTCGTCACCTAGTCCGGAACCACTACTTCCACCCGTTTCCTCCAGTACAGACAATATGCAGTTTATAAACGGCCCTCTCCGCTCGCTCCAGTCATTAGGCGGAAATTTCCCTCCAAGTCTTAGCCACCAACCATCACCAGCGAGTTCAGAACAATGGCGATAGATGGCGCGGCATGTTGACCTTCACGTGATGCATAGATCAAATTAAGGTCACTATGGGAACACACATTTCTGCGATTTTCGGGATGTGAGACATCTTGCCAGGTCACAATGGTGACTCGGGATGAACTTTAATTTATTGTAATGTAGACGAGACCTGATCGTTGGCGCAAATCAGTTCTTCCAATAATCTACAAGCAGGACAGGGGGCAGTAGATTGTTCAGGACAAATATAATGGAGTTTGCTAGATCGCACACGCATCACATTATGACTAGCAAATGTACCGGAATGATACCAGTGTCCGAATTTCATCGGCATACGATTTGTAAATGACAGTATAGTTCATTGATATGGCGGGGGTATATCAATGGTAGTGTGTCACGCGGAGATATTGCTTGTCATGACTCCGGGTAATGTAGAATGACTGTGTTATTTCACCAAAATACTCTGGTTGTCAGAGCTTAGTATTAAGACGAAGCTCTAAATGATAGTGAGATTTCGCTCATAAGTGAAGGCACAACTTATGTTTATGCATATACGTTATGAGTATAAGTGAATTGAACGCTGGTGTTTCGCAAAAAGGTGTACTTATACGTATAGAAATGTGTATTTCATCGATCAATCCTAATGTTCTTTTCACCAAGAATTTGTTTCTCCTCTAAACTAGCATGTTTATACGGTTGATTGGATAGCAATATGACTTTAGGCCAAGTAATACCATGATTCCCTATTAAGCTATAAGTGCGGTTCGAAATCTATTGAAAAGGGGACGTCCATCAAATTTTTGATATGGAATAATATATGACTCAAGATGAAATATGTTGGGCATGAACCCAATATTTCTTGTTAGATAAAGTATACATGCTAACAACGACATATAGATTAAGAACTGTGAATTCAAATGCACGAATTGTATAATTGTTCATATAATTATTTGTAATTATGTAATTTTAAAATTGTTAATAGGACTTTAATTGTAGTCGTTTAAATAGCAATGATTGTAATGTATATAAGACGGCATAATATATAATATGATAATAAACTTGATCTGTTTTCGTAAATATTTTTATAGTATTTATTATGTGCTTTATGTGAATTTAATCTATATTTCTAAATGTTGATGAAGAAATATGTTTGAGACCAAAAACTTATCTTCATAGCTTTGATTGCCGCAGTCACATTTGATCTAGGACAACCGTACGGAGGCCACAGCTTCCCAAAATCGAGATAAATATGCAGCATAAAATTTAGGGATAAGTAGTTCGATGTCGATTTTCTATATCTATTTGATGAAGCTACAGCCGCCGTACGACCGCCGCAGAGCAAATGTGACTGAATGTGTCTTTAAACCACCCACATGTATGTATGGTAATGATTACGCAAGTAACTTCGAGTAGCTCTTAGGTTCTTACTGACTGAATGTACTAGCATCCCCTCCTCGTATAGCTCGTTAATTATCAAAAATTGCAAACGATGTTCTTGTAACATAAAAACATGTTTATTTCTACTTTTGGAATTTTTTTCAGTTGTACATGCCTTTTTACTAGATGACATCGCATTTACCCAGTGCATTGTGTTGAGACCATCGTTAACTTGAAGAGTATGAAATGAAAATAAAAACAATGACAATATAAAGACAACTTAAAATCAAGAAGTAAATTTTTGTACATTTGCTTGGCCCTTTCTGGACTAAATGCATTTTAATTTTTAATCACTATACTTCCAATCCAAACATTCAAGCCACCAGGGGCCACAATCTACATAAAACACAAATACTATACAGTATGCAAAATCACGTCAAATCAACGCGAGTAAGGAATTTAACGTGTCCAGCTTGTGTAAAGAGATCCCTGATGTTGATGTTGGGATTTATAATACAAATACAAAATCTGCTCCCGTAAAGTATAACGACAGTATTCACAAAGGACGTTGATCATGTTGATCGGTTTACCGTCGATGAAATACTCAAAACACTGGTATCGATATGGCGAACTGAATTAAACACATGTTTCTCACAAACCAGTCATCAGCAAATTCTGAAAATTTTACACATCGTCAATCATCAACCTTTTGAATGGTAACAATTTAATTTGAAAAATATATAATATATACATTTCTCTATAATGTTTTAGAAAACATATCAGATACTTCTTTTGTGCTTGGTATCATATTTTCCGAATGAAATGAAACATCTATCCGAACCTCATTGGAACTTTTTGTTAAATCAACCAAATTTTCCTTTGTATAAATATAATATTGAGAGGTCTAAGAAAATGTTGTGTACTGTATGTTATTTTGTTCCAACAAGGTTCGGAAAGACATTTTATTTCATTCTCAACAATTGGTAGAAAGGAACAAAAAACAATTGCACTAAAGATCAAAAAATGTTAACAAAAACAGTTATATAAAATATTTCTAAATAATTTTTGCATTAAATTGTTGTTAATCAGTCAACATTACATATAAAATACCGTGATTTTTACAGAATGTTTTCAATAATTGGTACGTCGTTTAGGAGAAAAACATTGTTGAATTCAGTTCACCATAGATCGATACCGATCCTTTCACGTTAGTCACAACGGGAATCATTATACTCGTGTCTATCGCCATACTAAGCTGGTAATTTAAAAATATATTTAAATAATTTTCGCATTAAATTGTTGTCAATCAGTGACCATTACATAAAGGGCCGTGTTTTTACAGGATGTTTTCAATAATTGGTTTAAGAGAAAAACAATGTTGAATTCAGTTCGCCATATCTTTTAGCGATGACATAGGGCACAGATTAGTAGCAGCCATGATTTTCATATGTTTCAAAAAAGTTAACATTTTTAGAATAGTCTGCCCCATATGGTTCCATGGCTCGTAACTTCTAAAATCCAAGACCAGAGTTCGAGTATTTTATTTTGGGGAAATCGCATGTCTATTTATGAGTTGTTAAAGATATCAAATTATATGTAAAAAATTGTCAAAAGTATGTCAGCCTCTCTGCCTACCTTGTTTTATTCTCGCTAAGTTTCGCATCAACACGTAAACTTTTCTTTCCAAATTATTAAAACTAGTTCATGCGTTTTAATTCATATTTGATAAAGAACATGGCATCTAAAATGCATTTGGAACATAGTTCACATACCACGTTGTATATAACCGAAATTTAATTTACGATATCAATTTCATGATCTCTGTAGTGGGGAAACCGATAGTTTACAACTGACACCCGTCAAATACAATAATGTCACGCAAATCTCATACACACCAATGACTTTCGAATTGTTTGTATTTTAAAGTCGCATTATCATTCTAATATTGTGACTAACAATTATTTTGAAGTACACTCCCTCTAAAATTTTAGCGATCAGAAGTCCCTTTACCAACCAAGAGTAGAGTCTCTTTGATTTAACAAATTCACCAGTCATACATTTCCGACTAATTAAGCTATAAGGTCACTATCATATCACTATAAAAGTGTCAATCCACAGTCTATGTAGCAATCGCCATCAATGCCTTTGTAAGGGGAGGGGGTATCCATGTGCATACACCGACAGATGGGTAGCCGGTAAAATGACTGTTCAGTCTCCGTAACATGGTAATAGATCACAAATGTAAAAACGTTTGTTTATGTTAGTAAAATCTACACATGCAATTGTAATTCAAAAGCTATGTCCTGACGTGCATAATAACAGCCTCGGTGAAGTGACGAGGAAAGTAAAAAGAAAAGACGCAACGCGTCGATCATCGGGTGTTCACACGAGGTTCACTTTCCACATGTCTCAACATTGACTCTAACTTCCATTGGAGATCGCCGTCCTGGATGTGTAGATTTCCTCAATGGAGCTACAAGGTAATGTAGTCCCTGGGCATTCCCATGAAATTGACGTCACTGCTATAACTAGGCATGACCAGAGCATTAAGAATTACCCTTGCGATATCATGATTGGTTCTAACCTAAATTTCACTCATTCATTAAAAACATGTTGCTGATGTCAAAAGCCTTGATTGGGTTGCTTTGGCATATCCATTGTTAAATGCCTTGATTGGATTGCTTTGGCATATTCATTGTTAAATGCCTTGATTGGATTGCTTTGGCATATTCATTGTTAAATGCCTTGATTGGATTGCTTTGGCATATTCATTGTTAAATGCCTTGATTGGGTTGCTTTGGCATATCCATTGTTAAATGCCTTGATTGGATTGCTTTGGCATATTCATTGTTAAATGCCTTGGTTTGGTTGCTTTGTCAAATTTTCATTGTTAAAAGCCTTGATTTGGTTGCTTTGTCATATTCATTGTTAAAAGCCTTGATTGGGTTGCTTTGGTATATTCATTGTTAAAAGCCTTAATTGGGTTGCTTTGGTATATTCATTGTTAAAAGCCTTAATTGGGTTGCTTTGGCATATTCATTGTTAAAAGCCTTGATTGGGTTGCTTTGGTATATTCATTGTTAAAAGCCTTAATTGGGTTGCTTTGGCATATTCATTGTTAAAAGCCTTGATTGGGTTGCTTTGGCATATTCATTGTTAAAAGCCTTGATTGGGTTGCTTTGGTATATTCATTGTTAAAAGCCTTAATTGGGTTGCTTTGGTATATTCATTGTTAAAAGCCTTAATTGGGTTGCTTTGGCATATTCATTGTTAAAAGCCTTGATTGGGTTGCTTTGGTATATTCATTGTTAAAAGCCTTAATTGGGTTGCTTTGGTATATTCATTGTTAAAAGCCTTGATTGGGTTGCTTTGGTATATTCATTGTTAAAAGCCTTAATTGGGTTGCTTTGGTATATTCATTGTTAAAAGCCTTAATTGGGTTGCTTTGGCATATTCATTGTTAAAAGCCTTGATTGGGTTGCTTTGTCATATTCATTGTTAAAAGCCTTGATTGGGTTGCTTTGTCATATTCATATTTCAAACGTTGTTACAGTTTCGTATATTTTGCAGCACGGATTTAGGGTAATTATACCACAATTGTTACTGATATGGCATGATCAAAACATCAGTGTATAATTAGTCAAACATTTGGTAAATCCGTACGTTAATTATCAACTATTAATTAAAGTTCATTTATTTCACGGCATTATTCATATTTTATTGTGAAGACTTGTCTCGGCATTGATTGACAGACTCGAAAAAGATCATAAGCTTTGATTCTCAGATAATGATTATCGACTTATTAAGTTCAACACATTTTAGGCTTCTGAACTTGCATCGCGTTTAATTTTAATATGTGGTTTATTCGCCAGCGTGGTATCAGTTTCATTAGAATTTAGAATGCTAAATGCAAGAAACAGGGTATACGAGAGTGGTTCATAAAGTAAGGTGCACTTTGATCTCATTTCAAAAATATATAATATTTCTTTTAGAAATTCCATTCACTCCACAACACAACAATGGGGAATGTTCTCCACAATTTTTAACATTGAAAGTCAAAAACTCTTTGAATGAGACATATTTCTGTGCCTGTGATGCTGGTAAGGCAGGTCATTTTCAAGTGCACTAGTTTTGGAGCTTATTTTGTAGCTTATTTTGTAGAAATATTTGAATTTCAATGTTTTGTTCAGCTCTCTCTGATTGATTTCCCTTCAAAGTAGGCACCTTCATACATTATGCATTTTTATATCTGGCTATCCATAGCCTAAAGTGAATGCTGCCGTGTAGGCTTCTGTTGGGAGCGCTCTGACCTCTGAATCAACGGCCCTCTTCATTTCTTCAGCATCCACGAAGTGCCTGCCTTTCAGACCTTCTTTGAGTTTTGGAAAGAGGAAGAAATCGCATGGAGCATTGTCGGGTTGATTGAAAGTGTTTGTACCACCTGTACACATTCTTTCTGGCAAATGCCTTCTCTCCAAAACGTTGTCTCAACTCTAGTTGTGATTTGCCTTGATAAACACAATGTTCTATCAAGCATCTTTGTTTAATTCTTAGTTGGCCTTCCATTTTTATCCAAAATGGCTATTTTTCTGACCCAGGTGTGTAATTTGGCGTCTATCTGTCACAATGACATTTCATGCAAACAGCCTCTTATGACATCATTATAGCACACAGTTAACATAGAAACTATGATGACACAACTAGAAATAAATGTCATCATGTTTGAATGTATTAAATACTATTTTGTATTATTTAAAGCAACAATCGATGCATGCGGGTAATGTGCATGTATGTAAAATACACTCCGACCTGCCCTACCCTAATTTTGGTTGCACCAAATAAAGAGATATGAAATTCACAGAAAGTTTGCAATTCCCATACGCTATCATCTCTGAACATTTAATATTGTTTGGATGCACCTTACTTTATGAACCACCCTCGTATATATAAAACGTTGACACTGTTATCTTGATATGTTATATCATGGGCCTTCTGTTGAAAGCCAATGGTTATATATACTTGTGGTGATATGTGGTTGCCCCGACAAGTATGTGAAATGTCCCTTCCGACTCTACCCCTTGAATCCGTTCCGACTCAGGCGCAGGTAAATATAACGCACTCTTTATACTTGAAGACACGTGAAGTAACGCCAGAAGAAAACAGATAAAGATGAGA